TTCTGCTGTGCATGGGGTCGCTATGAGTCGGAAATGACTCGACGGCACTTAACAACAACAACAACAAGAATTGAATTAATATTCAGCCTGAGTTGCATGACATGAGAAAGAAAATTTTAAATGCTAAAATGTTTCTAAGATGTTGTGCACATAAAATACTCACAGACACCTAAACTTTATAAAATTGCTCATGAAAGAAAGATAAAATTTTGTATATATGTTTGAGAAGCAGGACTAATTTTGGAAATAATGTCAAATACAAGAAAGTAAACCAAAGTTCTCTGCTTTTTTGACTCTTGGAAATGATTCCAAAATGAAATTTCAAGCTTATGACTTAAAAATCATAAATACTAGAAACAGATGCAACTATCCAACTCATCATCATGTGCGTCATAGAATGAATGATTCTGTACAATGGCAAAAATACTGACACATATGATTCTCGGCAACCTTTCCTACAAGTTCTCTGTATCTCCCTTTGCTTTGATTCCTCCAAAGAAATATATCTGTGTGCTATTATCTGGTTTTTTTTTTTTTTTTTTTGTAAGAATTTAATTGAACTCATTAAGATGAAATAGTTTTGATGGCTTAAAGGGCTTATAAAACTCCCCAAACTTTATCTATTTTAAAAATATCATAACTGCAAGATTTCTATAAATTGGCAAAATATTCCTGAAGATGACAAAAAATTTAGTAAGCAATTATGTATATATATGCATATACATGTTTATATCCACAAACATAGTACTTGTCATATGATTGCATAAATATGCATATATGTGTATATATTATCTATCTATATAATATATATATGATATATATATATATATATATATATCATATATATGTTATATATATATATATATAGGAGCAGTCAAATGCTAGCCAGAAGGGTGGTAGTTCAAACCCACCAGCCACTCCTAGGAAGGAAGATTGGGCAATCTACTTCTGTAGAGATACTGCCTCAGAAACCCAAGAAGGGGACGCTATGAGTCGAATCTACTGGAAAGCAGTGAGGTTTTTTGTTTGTTTGTTTGTTTATTTTTTATGTATATATAAAAACCAAAATGAAATTCACTGCCATCGAGTAGGATCTGACTCATAGCAATCCCTCCTTGGGTTTCTGGGTGGTATCACTACGGAAGTAGATTGCCCAACCTTCCTTCCCAGGAGTGGCTGGTGGGTTTGAACTGCCACCCTTCTGGCTAGCAGATAAATGCCTTAGGCCCTGTGCCACCAGAGCTCCTTTATACACACACACATACACATATGTATATGTGTGTATGTGTATATATGTGTGTGTGTGTATATGTAGTGTTTATATGTGGTGTGTGTGTGTGTGTGTGTATATATATATATATATATATATATATATATGGTATGCATACCATATTGTGTATTATTATGACATATAATATACATGAATATTATATAATATATGTCATATATTGTAGTTTTTATATTACATATATTCTATTAATCAAACAACCTTTACTGCATTTGTATATTCCAATCATCTCCCACATTGGCAATTCCTGTTTAAATAATAACTGATATGGTAATGGGTTAGATGAAGTGGAGGTGGTCACGAGTGTGGTCTCGCTAGTAATTGATATAGTTGGAGCTGGCTCTTGGCCCAAATATTGCCTGATAGAGAAGTCCCAGCATGTCAGGGATAGCTCCTTTCAGCACAGCTTTAGGAGTTCTGCCAGCCTTTGCTGAGTCTGGCAGGTCAAAGGGCTGAGGCATGTGTAATTCAGAACAGAGGAGGTCCCACGGTCACTCCACAAAAACAATTACACTACTTATTTCACTCTAGCCCTTGCCCAAAACTCACAGGCCTCACAGTTTCAGCACAGTCAATCTAATTCTGCCCCTGGGCAATAAGCCACATGAAAATCTGTGCTGCTGTGTTTATAAATCTAATCAAAAATAGAAACAGTGGACAGACACAATGAGGTCCTACTATGGACCATGGGAATCTTCCAAAATCCTGAAGGCTCTTTTGTTTAACTTCAATAGACTCTCTCTTGCTACTGCATTGCCTGCTACACTCGTTAATCATCCTCTTTACATGTGAGTGCTACAAAGAAGGCTAAATTTCCCTTCAATACTTTCTATCCATGAACAATATGATGAAAAATAAAGCTTTTAAAGGAAAGAATCAGAGAGGTGACATATCAGTCTTACCTCTCTATCCATGTCCTCTGCTCCTTGCCCTTGGCAATGCACAGATTTAAATCAGTTCCTCTAAAAAAGAAAAACAATATTTGAAAACTAGAATAAAATTGTCCCCACCTTAGCTATATTAAGCACTTTGGAACTGAAGAACTATGATGCTACTTAATGGTCTCGAAAAATTGAAGCAAAAAGTCAACAGATTGGATTTGTTGTCTTGTTCTTATTGCTGTTGTCCTTGTTTGCAGATTCCTGATAACCTGAGAGTAAGTGAATGTTTTGCGAAACTAATCTCGAGGAAAAATTTATACTCAAATTATTGGTGTTTTAGGTACTGAGTGGATTCCAATTCATAGAGATCCTATAGGATAGAGTAGAACTCCCACATAAGGTTTCCAAGGCTGTAATCTTAATGGAAGCAAATCGCCAGGTCTTCTCCCCTGTGGAGCAGCTGGTGGGTTCAAACTGAGCAGTTTTCAGTTAGCCATTGAGCACTTAACCATTGTGCCACAAGGCCTAAGTTTCCTATTTTATGCCAAGAAGGTGAGTAATTACAACGCCAATGAAGTTATGATGAAAACTTGCAGCTGCACTATATTTATCTTTAAAATAAATAAATAAATAAAAACACAAAAAAACGTGATCCAGTTCTTCAACTGTCATAAGAAGATAGTATCTTATAAAGTTAATGATAAACATGTGTATTTAGGGGCCAAGTAGATTAAACTCTGAGAATATCATCCAGAAACGATAAGGAATATGAGCATTTTAATGAAAGTAAATTTGTTTTTAACACCCTATAGAGTGGTACAATAATGTAATAAGTTCAGCCTGCAAATTATTCCATTTTTTTATCATTAAAAATACACTATAATACAAATGAGGGCCACATGATAATAATAAATGGGAAATTTTAAAAATGGAGAACGGTCTTAGCATTTTATTAGATTATTGCAAACATCCACCAAAGGAGTATTTTAAACTTGGAATTGGCCTTTTTGAAATGGTTATCAGTTTTTGGCAGTAAAGCAAAATATACCATATATGAATGACATGTGAAACATAGTTTTATATACAGGGCCATCAGTCATAGTTAAAACAAGTCATTTCACAGAGCACATGTGAGCTCTTAAGTAACTATCAATGTTGAAAAAAAAAGATTTTAATACTTCTAGTACTGATGTCAAAATTCTTAATTTTTAATAAAGAGGACTTACAGATTATATTGAATAATGACTCTTTAAAATAAGAGAAATATATGAACAATGTTTTAAAAAAACATAAAAATGAGAAAACTTTAACCAATTATTAGAAATTGAAGTTTGACTTGCTTGTTTTTTCCATGCAGAGTAAGTGAAGAATAATTTAAAAGCATGTATTTCTGGGACTGTAAAAAGAAAGGAGCTCTGGGTTGTAATGCCTATGACATTTGACTGTTAACCAGAAGGTTGGTGGTTCAAATCCATCAGCCATTCCACAGAAGGAAGACTGGGAAATCTACTTTCTTAAAGATTTACTGCTTTGGAAACACAAAGGGAGTCGCTATGCGTCAGAATCAACTCAATGACAGTGAGTTTGGTTTTAGTTCTGGTTTATGTGGAATAGAAATGTTTTCTTTTGTTTCCTTGAAATTGGTCTTAGTTTCAATACTTAATTAAGATTTGCCTTTTTAAATGAAATATTTTAAATTGCTCTCTTATTGACACCTGAGCCCTGGAGCCGTGTGTTTAAGGGCACACGGCTAACCTAAAGATTGGTGTTTCAAACCCACCAGCAGCTTCACAGGAGAAAGAAGAAGCAGTCTGCTTCCATAAAGATTTACATTCTTAGAAACCCTATGGGACAGTTCAAATTTGTCCTACAGGGTCACTATGGGTGGGAATTGACTTGAGAGCAATGGTTTTTTGTTTTTGCTTTGTGGTTTATATTATTAATACTATATATTTATTTTGCAGACACAAAAGTCAAAATGTACAAGCCAAAAAGCATAGTTTGTCTCATCAGTATAATGCCCAGGAAATTTTCAAATAAGGCAGACCACTGCTCTACCTGCATAGAAGACAGGATTTGGAATGTTTTTTGCACAAATGTTTAGGATGCAATATTATCACCAAACTCAAAGAAAGGTTGTGTCATCTCTATATCACAGGTTGTTAATGAGTCTTCCTCCAATCTTGATGCTCTGTTCTTCTTCACATAGTCCACCTTCTCTGATTATTTGCTCAGCATAAAAATTGAATAAGCATGATGAAACATACAACCCTGACGCACACCTTGCCTGACTTTAGACCATGAAGTATCCCCTCATTCTATTCAAACAACTGCCTCTTGGTCTAGGTACAGGTTCTTCATGAGCACAATTAAGTAATCTGGAATTCTCATTCTGGGCAATGTTATCCATAATTTGTTGTGACCCACACAATCAGAAGCCTTTGCATAGTTAATAAAACACAGGTAAACTTCTTTCTGGTTCTCTCTACTGCCAGCCAAGACCCATCTGACGACAGCAATGCTATCCCCCATTGCACATCCTCTTCTGAATCCAGCTTGAATTTCTGCCAGTTCCCTGTCAATGTACTGCTGCAACCATTTTTGAATTGTCTCCAACAAAATTAAGATTCAATACAATAGTGAAATAAGATCAAAATTCTTTTATTGACTCATCTAAAATAATTTACTTACTTTGTTGAGATTTCTGGCAAAACAGAAAAATTTGGTTCTGTAAATAGTATCTAAAGCAGTAGTTCTCAACAAGGGGGATTTTTCCCTTCCTGGGAACACTTGGAGTCCCTGAATGGTGCATGTGCTAAACATGTTTGGCTGCTAATCCAAAAGTTAAAGGTTGGGGTTGACGCAGAGACAACTGAGAACAAAAGCCTGGTGATCTACTTTAAAAAAACCCAATTTAATCTCTATGGAACATAGAAGATAAACTAGATGATTAGGACCTACTGGAAATTAAATTCTTATGTGCATCAAAAGACTGCTCCAAAAGAGTGAAAAGAGCACCTACTAAATGGGGGAAAAAATATTTGACAATGACATATCAGACAAAGGACTTATTTCCAAACTTTATAGAAAATTCCAACACCTCAACATCAAAAAGAAAAACAATCCACTTTTAAAAAAATTGTCAGAAAATATGAAAGGACACTTCACCAGAGAAGATATTCAGGCAGCCAACAAACACATGAAGAAATGTTTGCGATCATTAGCCATTAGAGAGATGGAAATCAAAACAACCAGCATTAATAGCACAACTCAAAAAGACAGAAAATAGCAAATGCTGGTGAGGATGTGGAGAAACCAGGACTCTCAAACACTGCTGGTAGGACTGTAAAATGATACAACTGCTTTAGAAATCAGTATTGTGATTCCTTAAAAAGTTTGAAATAGAAATACCGTTTGATCCAGCAATCACACTACTGGGTATATATCCTAAAGAGGTGAGTGGCAGGACATGAATAGATAAATGCACACCCATGTTCATCACAGCACTATTAAACATGGCAAAGAGATGGAAAGAATTTAAGTACCCCTCAACTGAGGAATGGATAAACAAACTGTGGTACATACACACAGTGGAATACTATGCAGCCCTAAAGAATAATGTAGAATCTGCAAAACACTGCATAACATGGATGAACTTGGAGGACATTATGCTGAGTGAAAAAAGTCAATCACAGAAGGACAAATATTGCATTAGTCCACTACTGTAAAAAGTCAAGAAAAAGTTTATACATGGAAGGAAATTTTCAGGATGGAAGGGGAGAGGAGGTTAAATTCCTAGATAGGTTGAAAAAATATATATGGAAACCAAATATTATTAGTGGTTATCAGGGGTAGGAGTGGGGGGGGAGCTTTTGTGTGGGGGGCATTGAGGTTAATATAATGGTGGTGGAATACTTTGGAAAAGGATAGCAATAATGGTGGCACAAGAGGAAAAATGTCACCAATGTCCCTGAGCTGTAAATGGAGAAGTTGTTATGTTGGCAAATGTCTTGTGTATGTTTTCACTACAATAAAAGTGAGGAAAAAAAATAAGGGGGGAGGGTAAAAAACCCTGTGGAACACAAGTCTATTCAGGTACACAAGTCTACACATGTAGTCAACATGAATCGACTCAATAGCTTTTGGTTTGAATAAACATTTGGCAATCTCTGGAGGTTTCTGGTTGTCACAACTAAGGTAAAGGGGCTACATCTAGTGGATAGAGATGAAGCATACTGCTCAGATCAGCCCCCTACAAGACAGAATTATCCAGTACTAAACATCAACACTGCTGATTTTGAAAAATCCTAGTCTAGTGCTTACTAGGAAATAAAAAGGATGGAGGAACAAGACAAAACAACTATCATTTTTCATTTCCCTCCTCTTTTGCACAACTTCCCATTCAGAGTCACTTAGAGAAACAATACCTTCTGTCGCATAGATCAATCCCATTCTGTTCCTTAGTTGTTAGCACTACTATTGTGAATAAAACTTTAGTATTTACTAATGTATTATGAGGCTTTTGAAGAATGCATGGAAATCTTTCATGATAATAAGGTTCATTCATTCATTTAATTTAGATATGTATTCTGTGCAAAATTAAAACTCTCACACAATTTCAAATAAGGCACCTCCTATGGAATGCACTCACCCCTAGCCTGTAAGTTTGTTGTTCTGTGGTGGCTTGTGTGCTGCTATGATGCTGGTAGCTATGCCACTAGTAGTTCAAACACCAGCAGGGTCACCCATGGTGGGAGATTTCAGTGGAACGTCCAGACTAAGAGAGACTAGGAAGAAAGGCCTAGTGATCTACTTCTGAAAATTAGCCAATGAAAACCTTATTGATCACAATAAAACATTGTCTGAGAGGAGTTCTGGCAAGATGGCAGACGAGGCAGAA